AGAGGCAGGAAAGGGGAGGGAAGGGGGAGGGAGGGGAGTGAGTAGGGAAGGGGAAAGGGGGAGTGAGAGGAGGAAAAGGGGAGGGGAGGAGTGAGAGGGAGACAAAGGGGGGAGGGGGGGGAGGGGGAGTGAGAGGGAGGGGAAGGGGGAGGCTGAGAGGGAGGTAAGGTAAACTTCTTAGACCTCTCCCCTTATCTAATGGTCTTCTCCTAACCTAACCTAACCCAACCTAAACCTAACCCAACCTAACCTACCTCAATTTCCCAAGATGAGACCTCAAAATTAACTAGATTAGGGAGCCTATTGGAACTAGGGCCTATTAGAACTGGGTCTATTGGAACTAGGGCCTATTAGAACTGGGCCTATTGGAACTAGGGCCTATTAGAACTGGGCCTATTGGAACTAGGGCCTGTTAGAACTGGGGCTTATTAGAACTGGGGCCTATTAGAACTGGGGCCTATTAGAATTAGGGCCTATTAGAACTGGGGCCTATTAGAACTGGGGCCAATTAGAATTAGGGCCCAATAGGATTAATTAACCCTCATGATTAACGCTAGTGGCCAGAATTAATTAATAGCAGCAATTAGAATAAATTTGTTGATCTGAATGAGTTTATTTTAACTTGGAGGCAATATTGACCTTTACGTTAAGCTACTTAACTACTGTTCCTTCCTCCTTCCCCCCCTGCCCTCCTCCTTCCCCCTACCCCCCCTTCCCTCCTCCTTCCCCCTACCCCCCCTGAAACACAAACAGTAATACCAAGCCTTGAAAAACAGTCAAAACAAATCGTATCTGGCAACAGTCCAAAGCAGTGTTGCCATCATGCAGGGTTTGGGAAATAATTACCATAGGTGAGTATATACATAGAGTTACAGACAGACAGACAGACACAGTACGTATAGACAGAGACAGACAGACACAGTACGTATAGACAGACAGACAGACAGGCACAGTAAGCATAGACAGACAGACAGTAAGCACAGACAAAATATACGATGGTTTAACCCCTACGCGGCCAGAATAAATTCCTATATATATTCCAATAAATTTTTAAATAAACTCAAGCAAATAGTGACAAATAAATTCATAAACTTAATAAACTTGAAATAAAACCAAAAAATAAATATACGTTACTTAATAGAAATAAATAAATTAGAATAAAATCGAAAATAAACTGAGAATAAATGAGAATAAATTAATAAATGAAAATAAATTAATAACTTGAAAAATAAAAAATAACAAAATATTACGTGGCAACTTGAGGCAAATTAAAATCCAATAAAAATAAATAAAAATAAATAAAATCAAAGAAAAATATTAAAATAAATTCAATAAAAAACACCAACTGGCAATTTACTCCAAAAAATATATATATTTTTATTTAAACTTTCCAAAGTATTAAAAAAAACAATTAAATTTTATAAATGAGGTAGAGGGAATAAATTACAAGGAATTAAAGATGGCGACGGGAAAAAACTCACTGGGAGGGGAGAAAATTAATCACTGGGCGACATTCAGAATTTATTTCCAGAATAGACCAGTGGGTGAGGGAGGGAGGGGTGGAGGAGAGAGGAGGGGAGAGGGGTGAGGGAGGTGAGGGGGTGAGGGAGGGGTGAGGGGTGAGGGGAGGGGTGAGGGGTGAGGGATGTGAGGGGTGAGGGAGGGGTGAGGGGAGGGAGGGGGTGAGGGAGGTGGAGGGGTGAGGGAGAGAGGGGAGGGGTGGAGGGGTGAGGGGAGGTGAGGGGTGAGGGAGGGGTGAGGGGTGAGGGGGGGTGAGGGGAGGGGAGGGGGTGAGGGAGGTGAGGGGTGAGGGAGGGGTGAGGGGTGAGGAGGGTGAGGGGGTGGGAGGGGTGAGGGGAGGTGAGGGGGGTGAGGGGAGGGGTGAGGGAGGTGAGGGGTGAGGGAGGGGTGAGGGGTGAGGGGTGAGGAAAACGGAGAATTGGGGAAGTGAGGGAGGAGGAAGAGAGAGAGAGAGAGAAGTAGGGAGAGAAGGGAGGAGGGAGAGAAGGGAGAGAAGGAAGGAGGAAGAGAGAGAGAGAAGTAGGGAGAGAAGGGAGAGAAGGGAGGAGAGAGAAGTAGGGAGAGTAGGGAGAGAAGAGGTAGGAATGTCCGCTGCTACAAGACACCTCACCCCGTTCCATATGCCGCTGTAACCTCGATATAACGAACCTGGAATATTCCTAATGACAAAAAACTCGATATAACGAACCTGGAATATTCCTAATGACAAAAACCTCGATATAACGAACCTGGAATATTCCTAATGACAAAAAACCTCGATATAATGAACCTGGAATATTCCTAATGACAAAAAACCTCGATATAACGAACCTGGAATATTCCTAATGACAAAAAACCTCGATATAATGAACCTGGAATATTCCTAATGACAAAAACCTCGATATAATGAACCTGGAATATTCCCAATGACAAAAAACCTCGATATAATGAACCTGGAATATTCCTAATGACAAAAAACCTCGATATAATGAACCTGGAATATTCCTAATGACAAAAAACCTCGATATAATGAACCTGGAATCACATAATCTTGCATAACTTTACCCAAATAACCTAACTTATGGAACCTCATTATAGTGAAGTCAAAATGATCACAGAACCCCATTATAAAGAATTTTGAATCTATACATGATACGAACCGAGTATTTCCTTTAACCCCGCTACTGTGAATTCAAAACCTAGTATAACGAACCTCGATAACAATTCTAACCCCGGTATAATGGCCAAGTCAACATGAATACACAACCTCATTATAGTGACCATTAAATATATGCATAAGAATGGAGATATAATTAAACCCCGTTATTGTAAATCCAAGACCCGGTATAACGAACACATTAGAATACATAGAGATTATCCATAAAATAAACTTCCAGAATATACAGAGTAAACACAGACTTGGGATCACCTGAAGATTAACCCTCCTGAGATTATGTCCCCTGATGATAAAACACCCTGATGCTATCTAGGGGTTTGGTTAGGTTAAGTTAGTGTTTGGTTAGTGTTAGGTTAGTGTTTGGTTAGGTTAGGTTAGGATAGGTTAGAGTTTGGTTAGGTTAGATTGGTTAGGTTAGGTTAGAGTTTGGTTAGGTTAGTGTTAGGTTAGTGTTTGGTTAGGTTACGTTAGGTTAGGTTAGATTAGGTTAGGATAGGTTAGAGTTTGGTTAGGTTAGTGTTAGGTTAGATTAGGTTAGAGTTTGGTTAGGTTAGTGTTAGGTTAGGATAGATTAGGTCTTGATTTATCGCAAAAAAATTCACTCTACAATGGAAGTAAATTTTTATCGTAATTATACCGGGGTTGGAGTCATTATATCGGGGTTGGAGTCATTATATCGCGTCCACAGGTAATTCAGGGCCGGGGGCGGCGGGGGGGAGGGTGTTGATGTGATTTCGTTATAGCCTTGTTGTTGTTTTTAGTTGTAAATAAAGTTGTGAGTTGGTTAGGTTAGGTTAGGTTAGGTTAGGTTAGTATTAGGTTAGGTTAGTATTAGGTCAGGTTTGGTTAGGTTAGTATTAGGTCAGGTTAAGTTAGGATAGATTAACCTAACCTAACCTAACTTAACCTAACCAAACCTTAACCTAACCTAACCCCTAATATTACAACCATTAACCCCGATAATTAGACCCCCTAGGTAAAAGCTTAATATTACAGAGAAAAAAGTTTTATAAAGAGGAAAATTATGAGGAAAAAATCTTATTTATTTTGTCAATTTAAACTTAAAAGGAAAATCAACTCTTGCTGGGGTCACCCCAAGGAGAAGATGGTGGGGGAGGAAGAGGAGAAGAGGGGGAGGAAGAGGGGAAAGGAAGAGGGGAGGGGAAGAGGGGAAGTGAAGAGGGGAGAAGGAAGAGGGGGGAGGAAGAGGGGGAGGAAGAGGGGAGGAAGAGGAAGAGGAGGAAACAGGGGAGGAAAATGGAGGGAAGGAACAGGGGAAACAGGAGAGGAAGGGGGAGGAGGAAGGGTAGAAGCCGGGATTAGGAAGGCGGAGGAGGAGGAGGAGGAGGAAGAAGAGGAGGAGGGGTAAGGATTGTAGAGAGAGAGAGAGAGGAAGGAAGAGAGGGAGAGAGGGAGAGGCAGGTTGCAAGTTAATCTATATGCGCAAACTGCACCACGCATGCGCCACCACTGCGCCTCCAGAGGACAGATACACGAAGAATAACGCATTTATACGTGTAATTCCCCCTTACACGGATGATAGAGGCTTGTAGGAGTTTATTTTGCTCATGATATTCTTTAAGCATAATATGTTTTGATGTGGGGGGGGGAGTGGGTGGTGGGGGAAGGAGTCATGGAGAAAAGAGGGGGTGGGGTGATGAGAAGGAGGGGGTGAGGGGTAGAGAGGGGGAGAGAGAGAGAGGTTACCAATGCGCGGGTTCTGGTTTAAATACTTTTTCTATATCAATTTTAAAACCAAGTCGCAAAATACCACAGATTGAGAGGCCATTATTAGATAAACACACACACGTAGAAGGTAGGAAAGGTGTCTCAGGTAGAGGTGAGGGATCGAGTCACTGTTCTCTCACTGTTGGTAATATTGTCACTGTTTAGATTGAGTGATATTATGATTTCTTAAATAACTTTTGGAGATGTTTTGTCCATTTTTGTCACACCCCCCCCCTCTCTCCCCCTCACCTGTCTACCTACCTTTATCTACCTGTCCATTTCTCTCTACCTGTCTACCTACCTGTCCAATACTCAATTAAGATAATGATATATAAACAGATATAAATAAAGTATATGTTATTTATATATTTATACATAAGCACGATAGGAATATGTCTATGATGTAAAGTAACGAGGTAACTAATTAACACAGGTATATACATTAACCAGGTAGGAACACAGGTATATACGTTAACCAGGTAGGAACACAGGTATATCATTAACCAGATAGGAACACAGGTATATCATTAACCAGGTAGGAACACAGGTATATACGCTAACCAGGTAGGAATGAATGACAGAAACAGACACTCACCAGTGGTAGTACATTGGATCCATAGTGAAGATGGTGATAGTGGAGACTCACTTCTTCAGGTTTAAGACAGAGACAGACAGACACACACACACACACCACTATACCACAAGATCAGGAATTGTTTTTGTTTTTTTATGCTGTATATGACTGTATCTGACCGACACTGACCGATAACTACCCGACAACTGCCCGACAGCTGACTGACACTGACCCACACTGGTACAGGATCAAATTGTGTTCGTATTTGACATCTGTGGAAATAACCTTACGACACTTTTAAACACTTTTCTACGACCTCTAACGACCGTTCGGGAGATGGTAACGACCGCGCTAACAGGGAGTCGAGGTAGTTGTGAGTCTGAGAGCTGTACCGTGCCCCTGCCAGGCCCGGCTGAGGGAGTGAGGGGGGGGAGGTGGGGGAGGTGGGGGAGGAAGGGTAAGGGGGCTTGGTTGGAGGCAGAGATGAGACAGAGAGAGAGACGGCGGGGAGAGAGGATTGGTGAGGGGGTGTGAGGGAGGGAGGGAGACGGAGGGAGGGAGAGGGAGGGAGGGAGAGGGTGTGGGAGGGAGAGGGGGACAATGTAGTAAGGAAGGGTTGGTGGTGGTAAAATGAAGACTCTCTATTTCCCTCCCTCTTTATTCCTCCCTCTTTATCCCTCTCTCTCTCTCTCTCTCTTCACCATCACCCGTTGCCTCTCCACATCCACGAAAACCCTCCCCCCAAACAGCTTCTATTGACACGAAAATTTCACCAAATGCTTCGTGTGTTTTTTCCCTTCGTGTTTTTTCCCTTCGTGTTTTTTTCTTCGTGTTTTTTTCCTTCGTGTTTTTCCCTTCGTGTTTTTTCCTTTCGTGTTTTCTTCGTGTTTTTTCCTTCGTGTTTTTTTCCCTTCGTGTTTTCTTCGTGTTTTTTTCCCTTCGTGTTTTTTCCCTTCGTGTTTGAACGTGAGGGGAAAAAACTAACAAATTATTTAATATATTTATTTTTATCACAAGGTTGAGTTTTCCTTCCCTCCTTAATTTCACATCATCTCCCCCATCCCTCCCCCTCTCCCCTCACCCTACAGCTTTTTTTTCTCCTCCAAGAGACATCACTAACGATCGTTCACCTTAATTACCTCCCCAATGCAATTAACGATTACCCTCAGTCACCCAAACAACCAAAGGGTAATTTGAGATTAAATTAAAGATAAATAATAACTAGATTAACTTAGAGAAAGGGGTAGAGATAGAGATAGAGAGAGAATAATAAGAGACAGCTGCGCCAGACGAAAAATTATGAGAAATAGACGATATTTTGTGAGAAATTTTCCCCACGGTGTCTAGGTGAGGTTGCCAGTTCGTTGGATAATATTAAAGGGACTATATCCTTGCCTGCGCTACTAGACAGATAGACAGACAGACAGACAGACAGACAGGCAGAGAGACAGACAGACAGACAGGCAGACAGACAGACAGACAGGCAGAGAGACAAACAGACAGGCAGACAGACAGACAGACAGACAGACAGGCAGAGAGACAGACAGACAGACAGGCAGACAGACAGACAGACAGGCAGACAGACAGACAGCGCAATAACAACCTCTCCCCCTCTTCATCCCTCCCAATTATGCCAATTTAACATCCATATCGTAGTTATCGTGTTATTGAACCATTAAATAACTAAGTGATATAAATGTGTTATTTTCTTGTAAATCTGAACATGTTATTGAATTATTACATACATAACTCGGTGATTTAGAGTGTTATTTACTTATAAATCACGTATTGTAGTTACTATGTTATTGAGCTATTAAATAACTAAGTGATTTATGTTATTTCCTCAAAAATCACCAAATTAGAAGGAAAAAAATAACGCCTTGTTGACATGTTTTGTTATTGTTCGAACAAAGGAACTCAAAGCCATTCAAAATAACCAGTGTTTTTAATTGGTGATTGACCGTTCGTGGTTGTAATCCGGGCCAAAATGCGGTCGAAAATCTGGTCAGTATCCACAGTATATTTAAGCCTCTCTCTCTCGCTCTCTTTCTCTCTCTCTCGCTCTCTATCTCTCTCTCTCGCTCTCTTTCTCTCTCTCTCGCTCTCTCTCTCTCACTCTCGCTCTCTTTCTCTCTCGCTCTTTCTCTCTCTCTCTCGCTCTCTTTCTCTCTCGCTCTCTTTCTCTCGCTCTCTTTCTCTCTCTCTCGCTCTCTATCTCTCGCTCTCTTTCTCTCTACAACAATCACAACTACAACTACCACAATCACAATCATATCAACCACAACAACCATCCCTAATTCTAACACTTAAACCTAACCTAACCTAACTTAACTTAACCTAACCTAATTCTAACACTTAAACCTAACCTAACCTAACTTAACCTAACCTAATTCTAACACTTAAACCTAACCTAACCTAACTTAACCTAACCTAACCTAACCTAACCTAACCTAACTTAACCCAGGGGCGGGGGACACACACACACACACACACACACACACACACACACACACACACACTGTCCTGCTCAGAATACATCTCCAAGGTCAAGATCTGTGAATGGATACTTATATTGTCTATGTATACTGTATACCTGTACTGTCTATGTATACCTGTGTTTATATTGTATACCTGTACTGTCTATGTATACCTGTGTTTATACTGTATACCTGTACTGTATGTATACCTGTGTTTATATTGTATACCTGTGCTGTCTATGTATACCTGTACTGTCTAGGTATACATAGACAGTACAGGTACACATAGACAGTACAGGTATACAACATAAACACAGGTATACATAGACAGTACAGGTATACAACATAAACACAGGTATACATAGACAGTACAGGTATACAACATAAACACAGGTATACATAGACAGTACAGGTATACAGTATAAACACAGGTATACATAGACAGTACAGGTATACAATATAAACACAGGTATACATAGACAGTACAGGTATACAATATAAACACAGGTATACATAGACAGTACAGGTATACAACATAAACACAGGTATACATAGACAGTACAGGTATACAACATAAACACAGGTATACATAGACAGTACAGGTATACAATATAAACACAGGTATACATAGACAGTACAGGTATACAACATAAACACAGGTATACATAGACAGTACAGGTATACAATATAAACACAGGTATACATAGACAGTACAGGTATACAACATAAACACAGGTATACATAGACAGTACAGGTATACAGTATAAACACAGGTATACATAGACAGTACAGGTATACAACATAAACACAGGTATACATAGACAGTACAGGTATACAACATAAACACAGGTATACATAGACAGTACAGGTATACAACATAAACACAGGTATACATAGACAGTGCAGGTATACAGTATAAACACAGGTATACATAGACAGTACAGGTATACAATATAAACACAGGTATACATAGACAGTACAGGTATACAGTATAAACACAGGTATACATAGACAGTACAGGTATACAATATAAACACAGGTATACATAGACAGTACAGGTATACAGTATAAACACAGGTATACATAGACAGTACAGGTATACAATATAAACACAGGTATACATAGACAGTACAGGTATACAGTATAAACACAGGTATACATAGACAGTACAGGTATACAAATATAAACACAGGTATACATAGACAGTACAGGTATACAGTATAAACACAGGTATACATAGACAGTACAGGTATACAATATAAACACAGGTATACATAGACAGTACAGGTATACAGTATAAACACAGGTATACATAGACAGTACAGGTATACAATATAAACACAGGTATACATAGACAGTACAGGTATACAGTATAAACACAGGTATACATAGACAGTACAGGTATACAACATAAACACAGGTATACATAGACAGTACAGGTATACAGTATAAACACAGGTATACATAGACAGTACAGGTATACAATATAAACACAGGTATACATAGACAGTACAGGTATACAATATAAACACAGGTATACATAGACAGTACAGGTATACAGTATAAACACAGGTATACATAGACAGTACAGGTATACAATATAAACACAGGTATACATAGACAGTACAGGTATACAGTATAAACACAGGTATACATAGACAGTACAGGTATACAACATAAACACAGGTATACATAGACAGTACAGGCATACAATATAAACACAGGTATACATAGACAGTACAGGTATACATAGACAGTGCAGGTATACAGTATAAACACAGGTATACATAGACAGTACAGGTATACAGTATAAACACAGGTATACATAGACAGTACAGGTATACAATATAAACACAGGTATACATAGACAGTACAGGTATACAGTATAAACACAGGTATACATAGACAGTACAGGTATACAATATAAACACAGGTATACATAGACAGTACAGGTATACAGTATACATAGTCCAGTATACACACATCACCCACGGGAAATATTCATACTATAAAGTGAGTGATTTCTGTTCCCCAAATCCGCCAATTTTTACTGAACGAATTTTCATATTTTATTTAATTTATTTTTTTTCGGAAATTTTACGGAAACGACTTTTAATTTGTTACGATAATTAATTAGCTGTGTGGAAATAGGTAAAATGTATGTGTGTGTGTGTGTGTGTATGTCTGGTCGATGTTTGCATACACGTATACATACATGTGTACATCTAGGGTTTACGTACATGATTAATACATTAGTGTGTACTTTATCATGAAAAATTATCTGTTATTTATTGTATATTTTATTATTGTTACATACATACATACATACATACATACATACATACATACATACATACATACTCACACACACACACGTACTCATACAAACATACATACAAACACATACATGCAAAAATACATACATGCACCCACACGCACATCACGCACATGCGCGCGCACACACTCTCCCCACCCCCACACACACATGCACACTCGCCTAACTTTGGTCGACGCACACGACTTCAAAGGCAACACGAACACATTAGGTACACACATGAGCGCGTCTCTCTGCGTACACACACACACATGTACACACAAGCCACGTACACACAGACCGGTCGACGTTGAGAAAAATATTCCCTTGTTTATCTTTGTGTTTGTTTACCGGTCTTGGGGTGGTTGTTGTTGTTGTTGTTGTTGTTGTTGTTGTTGTTGTTGTAGTGGTGGTGGTGGTTGTTGTAGTGGTGGTTGTTGTTGTTGTTGTTGTTGTTGTTGTTGTTGTGGTTGTTGTTGGTGGTGGTGGTTGTTGTTGTAGTGGTGCTGTTGTTGTTGTTGTTGTTGTTGTTGTTGTGGTGGTGGTTGTTGTTGTAGTGGTGGTGGTGGTGGCT